TCTTTTTTTTTTTTTTTTTTTTTTGTTGTAAATAAAGTTATGAACAACAAAAATGATATTGTAAAAAGTACTCCTAGTAAGTATGGAATTGGATTATTTAGCAATTGGTTTTCAACTGCAGTGCATTGTAGAGCATGACTATCCGCTCCGTAGTATACAGTTTAAGAAATGGAACTGGTACCTTAGTTGAATACGATATCATTTTCTAACATTGGCTTATTAATTTTCTTACATCATTTAGCCATTTTGGCTCCGTAGGTATGGAATAAAAGAAAAAGAAGTTATGAACAACAGAAATGATATTGTAAAAAGTGCTCCTGGTAAGTATGGAATAGGATTATTTAGCAATTTGCTTTCAACTGCAGTGCATTGTAGAGCATGACTATCAGCTCCGTAGTACACAGTTTAAGAAATGGAACTGGTATCTTAGTTGAATATGATATCCTTGTTAATGCTTCCTTTTCATCTTGCCTTGAGCCGAGGGTCTATCGGAAACAACCTCTCTACCTTCACAAGGTAGGGGTAAGGTCTGCGTACACACTACCCTCCCTAGACCCCACTTGGTGGGATCACACTGGGTTTGTTGTTGTTATTGGCTCCGTAGTTTCATATATCTCCATAAACAGAGCAGTGAGTGGTGGACTATCCTCCATTTGAGTTAGTTGCATATCTTGCTGTCACCAAAATAGAATAGATCGCCAACTATATTTGTTTAATAGCTTAACAGTTTCGTAAGGTGGAAGAAATTGCTGCAATTACTTGATTTGTTTTGTGGAAAATGTTGACTGTTGGAAGTATATTTGGTCCCAATGTTTTGTGTATTTGAAATTCACTATGCTGTTCTTTGAATTTGTAGTCTAGAAATGCCTCAATCAACCTCTTTTATAATTCAGACTAAGGGTGTCTAGAAATACTGGATCTTGGTCTCTTCTAGTGCTGTACCAGTTCTCTTTTCTACCAAAATGTCGCATCTTTCTGATTTAACAAACTTGAAGAAACACTAGATACTCAATTTTATACTGGATATTCTAAAGTGACAGTTCTTAATGGGTAAAGTTAAACAGTGGTTGAAAATCTAAAAAAGTACGTTGATTATGGACTAGATATACGTTTTCGTTCAGGTGTTTGGTTGGTTGTATTGAAATACTAAATATGCTAGTGTTAATACAGCATAATTTGGCCAAGCATTCTACTATTTTTTGATGGTATGTTAAAGTGAATGCATAACCTCAAATATTTGTGCATAAGGCAGCTACAGCCTAAAATATTCACGTGATTTGGAACCTCTTCTTTTTGTGCATTGTTTATCTAAATCTATTGTAATTTCCAGAACGTCATTGGCTTGTCCATGTCGGAGAAACCGTGCTTCTGCCTTTTGCATGAATAACTGGTTGGCCAAAAGTAAAGGTGAGTATCTAGATAATTTTTTTTCAGTATGCTGTATGAGATGAGTGGTTATGCCAAAAATAAGCTCCTTTTTGGAACTGCATCCTAGTAATTCTCGTTTTCTTTTCAACCAGGAAAGGTGCCGAGCATTCAAAAGATGACATGCAGACAGCTGAATTCCTCAGGAAACAGGAATATCTGGGAAAATCTGAATCCTCAGCCGCTGAAGATGTATTTGAAAAATAATTCTGAGGTCCCAAAAGGCTTCTTGTCACTAACTCTAAATTAGTTTCAGTTAAAACAGAAACTTCTAGGATTCTAGAATAGGTAGTATTTAATTCTTTAGATTTAATTGACTGAGCCATGTTACTTTCAGCCATGGATGATATATAGTTCAATGGTTCCTCTACTTATCAAGAAAAAGGAATTATGTGGACAAAAGTAGATTAAATTTTTTATCAAAGCCGGGGAATTTCTTCGATCTTCAAAAAGATGGTTTGTGCAGGATCAGTTGTTATCAAATTTCTTTCAAGTTTATTGCTTTTGGTTCTGCTTCTGAATTGTTTACTGAAGGCAAAATAACATCTCTCAACACTACAGTAGTTTACCCTGGGAAGTTGGTCTTATCAATAATCAAGAGATAAGCAACTGAATGTTGATGGTTGTCCATATAAAACTTAATCATACTTCTCCTTGGATCCTTCTTAGAATTTCATGATCTGCTTCTGATTCAGTTCTCACCTTGAATCGGAAGTTGACCACCTTCCGAAATCTACAGGAAACTAGTATAGGTATTTATTTTTCAAAAACTTCTATCATAGCACAGAGAAAAATCCATTTTTGAGTGTACAGAGAAACTATCATCTTAATTGGTTGTTATGTTAGTTCTGTAAGTACGACACTGCACCCAGTATATTAATGCCATCTTTGTCCTGAAAACTGAGGTAGGTTACAAATACTCCAGTTCTTTAATGTAATATTTAAAAGATCTGATGAGGAAAAGCTGAATGTCAAGTTGTGAGTCTGGTTCTTGATGATGTAAACTTCTGCTCCATATTGGGAGTATCGACTACCTCTGTTCTTCCAATGTTTTAGCTGATTCCACTTCCATTATGCTGAGGAAAATTTCCATTCTGTATCTCGTTGAGATGTAATTTTCTGACCAAATTTGTGCGAGTTCTTCTTTTAAACTGGTTTGTACAATGTCAATTTTTTTTATGGGAAATGCTCAAAGGTGGATCGATTATATCATTTAAATATTTACTAATGAGAATTTTTAAATGTGCAGGACTTCCCAGCTAAATTTGTAATAGCTTCGTTGGCATCTTATTTCCTTATTAAGTTGAAGCCTCTACATCTAATTGGTACGAAGATGGGGATGATCCGAGAGTTATTCATCTTTGTAACTCAAACATCAGGCACTCAAAGTTTATCTTTTGCTTGTCTTTCTAACTCCTTGAATAAACCAACACCGCTTCAGTTGGATGTGTCCTTTCCTTCACTGAAAGACATCAAATGGAGTTTAGCGCGGTTAATATATTTGTTCAACATACAACTAGAGAAAAATGTTGCCACGTAAGTAAGCCAATTGTACCTCCTTTGTGGTATGTCGCTTTTCTATTTATCTTTCTTAATGGCTTAGCTCGATGATGGATGCAGAAATGACATCATATTATGTGCTAGAAAAAGATTAAAAATTTGCTTTTCCTGAAAATAAATATAGGTGGCTTGAATCAGGAAACTCGTATTTGTTACCTCTTTAATTTTTTCTGTACCTGAATGCTAATGCTTATAACTTTTCCAATATTCATGAACTTGTACTAGTATGGTTTTAGGTCATCTGAATTTATTATTTTCTCTTATTTCGGTTGCAATAATGGACTTCTAATTGTCATCGTTGTATAGGCTTACCATCTTTTTAGCTAGTTTAGGATTATAATGCATGAAGGGATAGGAAGAACGTATATGCATGGTAGTTCTTTGTAGTGCGTTCCCTGAAATACATTGAGAAGCTAATTGCGTGACGTACAAGACCTTATTCTGATTTTCCTGATAAAGGCGAATCATCTATTTTCCATTTTGTGCAGGTTTTTTATTGTGCTTTTGGTATCATGCTTCTCATTTGTGATGATTGGTGGTGTTCTGTTCTTTAAATTCAGGTAAACTCTTCCAGACGTGATATTTGTTATACTTATTTGTGCTGATGTTGTCTGCAAATGTATGGAAAACTATAAGTAGATTAAGTTTCTTGTTTACAGATGCCGAGTAATCCCCTATTGTATTAATTTCCAACGATCTTCTTGTTAAAGCACCTTAGAAAACTTTAGCAGAAGCATTTTGTCCATTTTTCATGCCTTTGTTCCCGCACTACCCAGTGTAAGCTGGTAGACAAGGTATATTCTATTTATTTATTGCACGTCTTGCGGCATGCCCCAAACATGTAGGCATGATTCTTTGGGCAAGCACGTGAGACTATTTTTATTGATGGATGGAAATGAAACTTGAAGAATCACCAGTTTCAACTTGAAGAATCACAAAAGACTTGATCCTTTTCGGTATAACCACACGCTACATCCAAAATGCATATGTGACAAAACAAGCCATATATTCTATCAGCTAATGGCGAAAAATACCTAGTATACTCTCAGTTAGCCACTACCAATTAATAATGACCACTTAAAGAAAGTTGGAAGTCTTTAGGATATTGAATAAAATAAATATTATCTGGATATTTAGTTGCACCAGAGATACAAAGCCAGGCTTAAGTTTCTTCAAGTTCCGACGTGGTTTTAACCCATGATAAAGCAACCAGCATGTTTATTTGGCTTCACTTATGCTATGCTCCAGTTATGTTATTTCTCTTTGCTCTTATTTTCCTTGCTTTCCCTCTCTTTTCTTTTTGTTCCCTTTATTTTTCCTATTACTGAACGCCTGTGTATTAGGAATCTTCTTCCCTTTTTAACTTTACCTTGTATGAAGTTTGGCAAAATTTTGTGGTTTAGTTGCTTTCAGATTAAAAGCAACATTTATGGATGTTATTTTAGCCATGGGATATTTTATCACTTACTTTCACTGTGCTTCACTATATCATCGTGTCTACATATTGTTCTGATAGTGAATTTTGTTGAAGCTAATGTATGGGAAATTATTCAACCAAATTTTATCTCCTTGTCTGTTGATATGCCGATCTTCTTCTCCAGTTATTCCCTATCCACATGTTTGTTTGCTGATCTTTATATTTTCATTATAAAGAAAAAGCAGGGGTAGTGCTTACTCTTTGGAGGACTGCTTGTGGGAGGCGTGGGCATGCCTCTGTTCATCATCTACTCACCTGAAAGTGTGGTTTATCTTTATCACATTTGATTTTGTTGATAAAATGTAATCTTCTTACTGATTAGCAATATGCAGATCGTAACAATTATTACTACTAAAAGGACTTGCATTTGACTGCAGCAAAGAACAAGAGTTGAACGTGTAATAGGATTCATCCTTGCCATATGGGGCATTCTATTTTATTCTCGCCTATTGAGCACCATGACTGAACAATTTCGAGTAAGCTCTCGAAAAATGCTACATTCAACTTCAAGCTTTATTGATAAGACAGTCCCCTGACAAGAATTTGGACAGAATAATATGCAAAGACTCAGAGAAGGGGCACAAATGCAAGTTTTGGAGACTGATCATATTATAATTTGTGGAGTTAACAGTCATCTCAACTTTATACTAAAGCAGCTAAATAAATACCATGAATTTGCTGTTCGCTTAGGTACTGCCACTGCTAGGTAATCACTCTGCTTAGAGTTTACCGTACAAAACCATGCACAGTGCTGCAAGTATTACAAGTGCTGTTACCTATTTGCAGGCGGCAAAGAATTCTTCTGCTATCTGATCTTCCAAGAAAGCAAATGGACAAAATGGCCGACAACATCACCAAAGATCTCAATCATATTGATGTCCTTACAAAGAGGTCAGAATCGCTTCATAAAGAAACAAAAATTGTTAGGGTGCAGAGTTCTGGAAGTCTCTATAGAAGATCAAACAAGTCTTAGTGAAGCTACTTCATTACTTATATAGATCACCTGTGCGCATGTTCTGTATAATAAGGGGAATAACATAGAAGATGCTTACTCAAACAAAGCTGTATGCCCATCAGCTCTAATCTTTACTTTCTTTTATGGAATAGAAGTGCTTCATTAGCTGTTCCAAATATCCAATTTGTTGAACTGCTTAGATGAAAAACATCATTTTTGCCGGATTCCCTATTTGTGAAATGCGCTCTTTGTTAATGATGTTATATAATGTTTCTCTGCATACTCTTAAAACTTTTACTGTCTAGAGAGAGGTAACCACTTGTTTATTAATCTTATTAGATTTTCAAGCTACCCTTTCTTGTATGGGGTGAGGTTCTTTTCCCGTGAGCTTAGCACATCACTGTATTTTGACTATGGGTGGCTACTTAATTTGAGGATCTTTGTGTACTTTGAAACCTTATTAAATATGAACCTACATCTCATCCGAATTGACTTTTTCATAAAAAGCAGTCAATACTCCCAAAACATGACTTCAATTAGCATTAAACAATATCAGGTTTTTATTAAACCAGTCTTGGTAATTATCAAATTCAAGCCTGAGATTTGATATGCTGTTGCTGAGATACATATTTCCGTAGCCGATACTGGTCCAGTCTTACTCCAGAGCATGGTGTGTGCATCTATCTCCCTCACTTTGAAGAGGGGGAGCCAGTTGAAATTCCTCTAACTTGTATATATTGCTATTGGCGTGATTGTAGTTTGGCTTTCCTAGTGGGTTTTGTTGTGCCGTGCAAAATCTCATAGGTTGACTTTGGCCTCGGGTTCAGAGGCCTCAGTCTGTCCATGTTTCCTGAGCTGTTCTATGGATAAATTGAAGTTGCTGTAATTTCAGCTGCCTTCAATCTCACATTTCATACATTTTCTCTAACAGTTGCAGTTTAAGTATGACAAAATCATTTGAAAGAGCTGCAGCCAATAAGGCACGCGCCATTGTTATACTTCCAACAAAGGGAAATAGGTAAGTGATTTGTTTTACTTGGGCACATCTTGAAATGTTAATCATATCAATTCTCTTGTTCTTTAGTTCTCTTCAAATGGTAAGTGGACAAAGGGATGGAAGACAATTGAATTTTGAAAGTTTTCCGAGTTTTGGTTCAATATTTGGAAAATGACGAACAAACTTAGTTTCATATTCATCAAAATTTAAAATAATGAAGAGTGATTCACAATGTTACCAGTTGGGTAAAGTATGATTTTCTCTTGAAAGAGGTCAATCTGTATTCTTTTTTTTTAATTATATGTTATAATTGGGTTTTAAGGTTACTGAAGCATTTTCTGTACATAATTTAGATAATCCTGTGTTTTTGTAATAGTTAAACTTACAGCTTAACGTTTCAGTGTGGTTTGTTGTTCTCTCAGTTATTTTCTGTATTGGTTGAATCAGTATGCAATTTGATTCCGAAGATGATTTTTGAAAAAAAAGTCCTTGTAAGCCATAGACAGAACATGTGGGAATCATAGAACACATTTAACCATGCAACAGAAACTCAATTTGTTATCTGCAACTTAAGCGCTCAAGTCAAGACCTTGTGAATGGCTTTATGCCCTGAGCACCAGATGAAATGTATGTGAAATGGGATCTCTTATTTGGAGTAGTTTTATGCACGGTTCTATGAGTCTTTTTCTATGTTTGCACTAACCTACTTTTAAATTAATGGCGTTTTACGTGCAATTTGAATTTTGTGCTTGTGCTTTCTTCCTGTTTTCTTATTTGCCATATTCTTTATTTAATTAGGTATGAGGTCGACACAGATGCATTTCTCTCAGTGCTTGCCCTTCAACCCCTTCCAGAAATGATCTCTGTGCCCACCATAGTTGAGGTATGTTGCGCTGGAAGAGTATTTTAACCGTATTGAATTATCATTAATAAGTTAGTGACTCCTTCCTGGATTTCTTTCAGGTTTCAAGCTACAACACATGTGAACTCTTAAAGTCAATTTCAGGATTGAGAGTGGAACCTGTTCAGAATGTCACATCAAAATTGTTTGTTCAATGCTCTCGCCAAAAGGGTCTCATTAAGATATACAAACATTTGCTTAATTATCGAAGTAATGTGCTGTTTCTCAGTCAAATCATCTTGGTTTCATGAATATTCATCTTATCGAATGCTTAACCTGAAAAGGAAGAGTTGGCATGTCTCTCATTGTCTTCCACTGTTTTAAGTGCTGCATTCTGATAATGGTCTCAAATGCACTTAATTTTTGTTGAAGAGTGGATCATCCACTGGTGAAGTGGTAAACTTGAGTTAAATATCATGTTGTTTGTTTGGTTAAGATGGCTACTTATGTTCTTTTACTTCATCTGCCTATATCCATTTGTGACAAAATCAACTTCAGTTTGATTGATTGTGTCTTTTGTTCTGTCTGGTAAGGAGCTAAGTTCTCTAAGATGTTACGATTTCGTGGTCCACAGCCTTGAACTTTGGACATCCCGTGCTTATTTCAAAGCACTAATATCTTCTTAAGTTTCTCAAAGTTCTCAGCGAACCGGAACTCTGCTCTGTCCTTAATTGTGGGATAACATTTCAAGTTTGAAGTGTCTGTCCGTTGAAGTTTTTGCTTTATGTAGTATGTTTCTTTTGTTCATATAATCATGTCATATATCTCCTACATCCTGAAAGTGAAATTAGCATAACAACGTTCATGAATCTTATGTCATCATTGGACACTGTTTTCTAAGAAGACCACCATTTCATCTGGCAGAGAACGTGTTCAATCTTTGCAGTTTCCCTCACCTTGTGGGATTAAAATATAAGCAATTAAGACGTGGCTTCCAAGAGGTAGTCTATTTGACTAGAATGGCGATTTCATAAAGTTTGTAGGTCTTGAAGTCATCTTTAATTCTGTTCTTTCTTCAGGTTGTTGTTTGCGGTCTCTATCGACAAGGGAAGATAAATTTCCACCCAAGGGATGACGAAGTTTTGGAAGAAACTGATGAAGTATGTTCTCAACATTATATATTGCAGTTGTGTCACCCATATGAATAAGTCAACCGGAGATATTAAGTCAATTTGGACTGTCGTTGTGGAGATTATGAGATTTACAGTGATACACTCAGCACCCTGCTTTTTATACTGACTTAATTATTCTGCATCTGTCCTTTTTAAGATTTGTATGCAGTTCATTGATTTGTAAACTGTGCATTTGGTTATAGCATACTGCATTAGTCTCAAATAGGACAAAGGAATAATAACTAGAAGCAGGTTGATTGACTTGCTAATTGAGTTTCTTTAAGTATGACACTGTACTAGGTGACATGTATTCTTAGACAGGTATTTATTGCTTTCATGATTGCCGTTGAATTGAATATTTCTTCTCGTTTTAAGCTTTGACGTTTTATCAGTTTGAATGTGAAAGCGATTCTTTTCTGCCTATAAAGCCTTACATTTTGGCCTTCCTGTGGACCAAAATGTACAGAGTTCAAACTTTTTTTTCTACAATCCCCTAATTTAGTTTACTTGCATGCTGATTCTCTCACTTTGACGCATACAGGTTTTGTTTATTGGACCCATTCATGGAAAAAAAAGGCCGGAGCTAGTATATTCAAATATTTCTGATGAAAGTGACAATGCCATAAATGATTCTCACACTGTGGAAAAGAATGGACAATTCCGGGGTAATGCTTTGGAGATAACAAAAGCACGCCTTGAGAATATAGTGAAACGGACAAAATCAGGGTCTAAGGTATAACATACTTAGGAATGGTTGCTGTACCTGCCACCTTCATTACTGTGTATTTTAGCTAACTTTTAAGCATCTGAATACAGGCATCTGATTCGTGTCTGGGACCTAAAGAATGCATTTTAATGCTGGGATGGCGTCCTGATATTGTGGAAATGATTGAAGAATATGATAATTACCTGGGACCTGGCAGCACACTGGTAAGTCATGCTCTTCTTCTGGCAATGGAAGACATCCACTTCCAACCTCTACATTATAGGCTGAGATAATTGGATAATTAACGAAGAAGCATTTATGGATTAGCATCTGAATTAATCACCAAATATGTTGGACTTTGACTGAGTGCTGTAAATTTGCTTACTTAGACTAAGTCTTCTTAAGAATCCTTTCGTTTTGCGTCACATAAACTTGTAGGAGGTGTTATCAGATGTCCCTATGGATGACAGACATAAAGCTAGCAGACTTGCTGGTCAAGGAAAGCTAAAAAATGTCCGAGTCTCCCACAGGGTATTTCTGACTCAGTATCTTATGTTGATTATCTGGACTAGATTTAGATCTGTCCATCTTTATCTGTCCCCATTCATAATATGCTACAGATTGGAAACCCAATGGACTATGACATGCTGGCAGACACCATTGCAAACATTCAAAAATCATTTAAACAAGGCGAAGAATTTCCGTTCTCCATTGTCGTGATATCTGATAGAGAATGGTTACTAGGAGGTAACAGAAATGGTATTATCTTATTTCTGATATAAACGCATATTTAAATTTACATTTCATTTCTCCAGATGCATCGAAGGCAGACAAGCAATCTGCATATTCTCTCCTCCTTGCTGAAAACATCTGCGACAAGCTTGGCATGAAGGTA